CAATTGCTGTGCTTGCTGTAAAACTTCAATTTTCATACAAGCTTGTACTCCATCAGGGTGAAATTGTCCCTTTCCCAATAACATTTCAGATGAAACACCGTGCAAAGGGTGATGAGGATTACACTCTAAATTCTCATCTGCAGCCCTTGCAGCGAGCTCCTCAAACCCACTTTTGAAATGTAGGAGCTGTGAAGGAGTTAATAAAATTGCAGCCACTCTGAGACAATCATTTGGAGTAACACTACTGGAAAAGAAAGCAGATAACATTTGCTGTGTATATGAGGAAGACAACCCATACTGAGTAATTGCTCCCTTAATTTCTTTCATAGCTTTCCAGTCCATAGGAGTCCAGACAGACTGTCCCTGAGAATTTATAATAACAGGGAATGCAGCGGGAACATCTATCGGTAAAATAGTACTGCCTATGATTGCATCCTGAATGCAGCCTCGCCATCTCATGGCACTTGGATTGGCTTTATTAGATGTAGGAGTCCGTGGTAATGGCACATCACACGGACTGATCTTATCTGTTTTTTCCGGTTTTTCTGGGGCTTGCTCCCTCTCCTCCCCCAACTTGTCCAGACGGTCCCGCAAGTCCTGCAATTGCTTATCTAAGGATTTTGTCCATTGCCCCCAGTTCCACTCATTTTGCAGCTCCAGTGGGAGCGATGCAAGCGGTGGTGTATGTGGCGGAGGTGGGTATTTATTTGGAGTTACGCTCTCCTCCTTAGGAGACTCCCACCCCAGCAAAAATTCTTGGAGATCAAGTTTAGGGGCAGTAGCAGCATGAAAAGGGTTAACATCAGTTTGTTTCAGTTGCTCAGTAGCGCTACTGGCTCCTGAGTATCAGCTGGAGCTACTGCTGGTAAAGGCATTGTCGACACAGGATAGGGGAAGGGCGCAGGGTCCTCAGACTTTCATACTGTACTGTGTGCCGGTTTTTGACCAGAATGTTTTATGCCAGAAACAGACGACACTACCATGGCTGTAGCACCGGGTGCTGAATCTAATGTAGGTGCCAAGTCCTGCTGTTGTGAAGGCAAGTCAGAGAGAGCTGTAAAAACGGATTTTGCCGCTTGTTTCTCAGCCTTCATTGCGGCTAGAGTCCCTTTTAGTAGTAACCAGGGGGCAGCCTCCTTAAACCCACAAGTAACTTGATCCCACAGGCATGCCCCAATTTTTTTCCAAGTCCCGAGATCAAAAGCTTCATTAACCCCCTTGATCAGCTCTTTTTCTTTACTCCAGAGCAACAATCTTTTTAACAGATTATCGTCATATTCTATCCCTCTTACTGAGAGGATATGCTGGAAGAGCTTAAGGATGACCATTTTTTCTTTACTTAATTGATTCCCCATCCTAACCCTCTTCCAGACCCCGTCGGCTGTTACCTTATTTCCACTGCGCAGTGTCTTCCGGGCTCACTAGGCTCCATTCCGAGGCGACTACCTCCCGATCCTGGTCCTGCCGGATCGAACCCAGCCGACGTCCCTGCGGCTCCGCGTTTTCCACTTTCTTCGGTGCCACGCGCTTTAGTTCCTTCAGTTTCAATATGAAAAATATGGGGGGTCCGTGTTCAGGCGCCATTTGCCGCAGAAAATACATGGACTCAGTCAGAGATCAATATGATTAGACAAAAGCCGTTTATTACAAAGCCTTAACCCCTTAAATACTATTTCTTACATGCACTTACAGTAATTTGGCATATTATGATTGGATACATGTCTTGAAGACCCTTTGCAACTAGCATATAATTGGTTAAGCACAGGTGTGGGAACTTGACCTCAAAAGCTTGCCAACAGTCCACAGTTCTCATTACCTCAGTGAATTCTAGCTTCTTCTTATCTTGCTTGCTTAAGCTTCCTTGGCCTCTCACGGCCTTGCTGTATCTTTCAGGATTATTCGGAGTTTATGTACCAATTATCCATTCTCCCGTGAGAACACTGTCTCCACAGGGCTCAGTATGACTTCTTAACTTACAAGAGCCAGAGAGATTTGGAAATATCAGTGAAAGAGCAGATAGGTAATGGAGTGAGGACAGACTAAGCTATTAATCTGCCTCTAGGCAAGCCGTGTGTATCCACATGGGTAGGAGAACATGAGCACTTGTGTGGAGATGAGCCTGGGAAGCACTTAAAAACGGAAGGTGGTTTAGAAAGCTTTTCTATTCTAGTTGAGGATCTTTGGTATATTGACTCTGAAGCTTTCCCTGCCTTAACTGGGAAAAGGAATCTTGAATCTCTATAATTATAGTAGTTTCTCCTGTGAATAGTGTACATGGTGTATCTTACTGTCACATGTAAGCTGTATTATTGCATTCTGCAATAATGCATGGTCCTTTTTTGTGCTTGGGAGAGGGGTGTAAAGATGAACATGGAGGTTAGAGAAAGAATGGTCCTTCAAGATGTTGAATCAGCTGTAGTTTTACCTTCATAGAGATTTTTTGGTTTTCTCTTCCCCTTGAAGAGTGACTGAGGAAATATTTGTGGTATGATCTATTCTGCTTAGTGGGTCATAACCTCAGATGCTGGACTTGAAGTGACAGTGCTTGTCTAGAACAGTGGCTAAATACAAATGAAGAGCTTTGGCCTTGTGCTTTGCTAAGAAGACTGTGTAGGAAAATTGTTTTAGAGACATGGAACTATGTTCTCTGCTCTGTTTTTTGAATGCATGAGTTTGTTGTCTTGGTGTTCTTTGCACCCTTTTCCACTAAAAGATATAGGTATGCCCTTGGAAAGACTTCAGAAAGGCTAGCAAGGCCATGAACGACATTGTCTGTATCTCTGACAGAAAGACTGGGTTAAAAATCCTCAAGAAATGTATAGATGGTAAAATATAATGATAGGTCTGGTTTTAAGGCCTTCTTATATAGCTATCGCTTTCCTGCATTTGAGAGGATTTTTTTCCTTATTCCCCCGACCTGAAATAACAACCACTGAATAACCAACTGAAATACAGAAACTGTCTCTTGAGAGCTTACAATGAACACAAGAATTTATGACACACAGAGAAAAAATATAACAAACTTTAAAAAATATTTTCATGAGGCAATATTTGTGTTATGTATATGCATGAGCAAGTGGAAGGAAGAAGTTGTAAAGGTTTCCAAAAATAGAAACTTGGCTTATTTTGAGAATGCATGTAGGCAAGATTTAAAGTAGAACTGTGCCCAAGATTCATTCTTAGCTCTTCCTGAAATTAACTGAATTAATAAAGTAATGTGCAGTGATACATTCTCATTTTTGCCTGCTCTGCTGAAAAATAGAAATAATTACAAATTACCTCAGATGGCCTTCAGGGAAAGTTTATTCCATCCTGGTTGGAAATGTAAAAGAGAAGTAAAAGCTTCTGTTATGATAATAACGTCTGTGAATACAGATCTGTGAATACCTGTCAATTTATATTTCATAGTTAAAATGTAGCAATTTACAGTTTCAGGTTTTATAGTTAGTATGGATATTAAACAGAGAAAATTCTGTGTATCCATCCTGCATCCTAGTGTACTCATCCTCTTAACCTGGTCAAAACCAGCTTCTTATGTAACAGGCTTCCAAAGCCTGTTAGGCTTGTTAGGTTTATTTTTCCTCTAAAAAATGTATTGAATCTCTGTGTTGTTCAAATGCCTTTAATATACTGACAAAGTCAAATAAAATGTAGCAGCAGGAGGAAACTACCTAGTCTGTACATGTAAATGATATTTCAATGGACTAAGAAAGGTTTATAACTTATTGTTATGGCTTTAACGTAAATGCTGGGAATTTTAGTACATTACTGGGCAGCTAGTTGTGGAGGAAGTAAACAGAAAACACTAGGATATTGGTATGTACAATGATCTTTTTAAACAAATAAAATAGTATGGTTTGGTTTTTTTTAGAAATCTTTTTTTTTTCTAGAAATTTTAAACTGGCATATTTTCTGATGCCATGAGAATGGTATGTTGTATAATTTTAACCTTTACTTGAAAAATTATTTGCTTCTCTATGACACGCAAGTATGAATAAAGCTCTGCAACACACACCTGATAATTAAGTACTCATTGACTGTAATTTTGTGCATATATGAGGTGTAAATTTGGATTTATTGATTAGAAATCTCACAGATTACTCTGGAGTCTTAGACTGTGCTATGCAGTCATTTGCATGAAAATACATTTTTTTGGACACTGATCTCAAATCACAGCAGAAGTCATCTCTCTTAGTCTAGCCCTGTTTTAACTATTTTAGTTTTTAAACTCTTGTGTGGATTATGGAATGCTTTGCTTGTGTTTCATTTGACTCTAGAGGAAGCTGTATATAGATTTTTAAAATCTTAAATATAAATATTTTTTTCCTGTTTAGTCCTAGGTTGTCCCAGGCTATTTTACTTGCCCACCACTTCATGAACTCATTGCCCCTGAAGCATTCCTTCTTCTGTTTCTTTCAATCTGTACATCACAGGGAATTCCACATTTCAAATAATTAGATAGGAAGCAATGTGAATGTAAGCAGATAAGTGACTGCAGCTGCTACATGCAACAGGCTAATCTGGAAGGCATGTGCAGGGGGTACCTTAGCTTCATCCGTGTTGTAATGTCTCAAACCCTATTTCCTTGCATTGTATTGGGCAGCTATTAGAACTCATTGTGCTCAAAGACTATAATATTGCTACAGTAAGAAAATTAAACATGAGTTACAATTTACTATTTAATTAGACAACCTTTTGTAATTTTTTCTAGATTGATGATATTTACAGAATATAGTGGTATTCAAAATACTGCCACAGAAAAGATTTGACCAGATTTATATATTAAAGCCTCTTTGCCAGGTGACCACAGGTTGACCACCTGTTTCTTTGCCCATGGTCAAAGTAATAGATTTGTGTCTCCTGTTAAAATTGCTTCATTTGGTCACATGTGAATCTCTATAAGCAAAGCCCAGTTCTTGGTATCATTTTGTGACAAAGCATCCGTTATTCATAGTGTTTCATTTAACAGCACAGTTTCAGGTAATCTTTTTCCTCCTCAGCACCTGGATGATGACACAGTTTCAGGATCAAATTGGATAACAGAAAACAATGTTGAGCGTTCTCTATCACAAACAACTAAAACTGCCAGGAAACCTTATTGTGGTTATAAGCAGCAGACTTTGTCCAAGAGAGAACAAGCAGAACAGGAATCATTGCTTGCTGCAATACAGTGGCCAAAGTTGCCTAACAGCAAAATTGCCTTTGTACAAAGCACTGATCCCGCACATAGTGACTTTGTGATTGTGAAGCCCAGCAGGTTCTTCAAGGTGGGTGATCAGTTAGAGGTGCTTGTTCATATGAAGGATTTCCAAGGAAAACCTAAGCAATATGGTGGCGACTATCTACAGGCACGAATTCATTCTCCTCTGCTGAAAGCTGGAGCAACAGGAAAGATTGTAGATTGCCACAATGGCCTTTATAAAGTCTTCTTTACCTTGCTTTGGCCAGGGGAGGTCAAAGTTTCTGTATCACTTGTCCATCCGAGTGAAGCAATCCAAGTCCTCCTGCGTTTACGAGAAGAAAGGCCTGACAGAGTCTATTTCAAAAGCTCATTCAAGTCTGGGAGGTATTCAGAAACTACTGAGTGTAATATTTGCCTGCCTGGAGGTCTCCCAGTCTGTAACTTCACAGATCTCTACACGGGTGAGCCATGGTTCTGTTACAAGCCTCGAAAACTCCCCTGTGCCAGCCGAATCAACCATGCCAAGGGTGGATATCAAAAAGGTCTTCTGACACGAGAAGAAAGCCTCTTTTTCCAAAGGTATGTGTGTTATTGAATTAATGTATAATCAGCCAAGTATTATTTATTTAAAGACAAACTTTCAGTCATTGGTGAAATATTACAGATTGCCTTAGAGGAGGTGTGTATCTGCAGGAGCAGGTTTTTGATGTGAATTGTTGAATAGTTTCTTTCCCTCCATTCAGCTGTGCCAAGAGCACAGTAATCTTAAACTAAAGAATCTTGGAACGTAGTTCTCTCTCTATGCTTTGAATTCAACCCTGGTGCACCTGCTATATTAAAGAGCATGCTATCTAAATCTGGTGTGGTTTGAGGGACTGTTTCCTTCTTTTGTTTGCACACCTACACTTGCAATACAAATAAGTATACAAATACAAATCTCTGCTTTGAGATGTTTTGGGGTGTTTTTTTGGCCAAGTCTGAGCTACCTAAAAAAGGTCCAAGTTTTAGGCTTATTTTTACACAAAACAATTGCTTTTACCCTCAGCAAAAGCCATCTTGCATCTAATGTAATGTGTTCCTTTTAAATCTTGTGAAGAATTTTAGGACAGTCATGAAGAAAACACCTGGTAGGACAAGCTGCTGAGCAAAACCTTTGAAAGTGGAAATGATCTGTGCATGTTATAGGAAGTGTTGAACCTAATTAGTTTCACAGACATCTTTTTCTTCTGCATTCAACATTTTTTAAAAAATATATCCCTTAGTGCCTGGGTAGATGTGATAGAACTGCTTCTGGATATACCCTTAGCTGAAATTAGACATAGTTAGCTACTGTGTAGTGTCAGAATTGTAGTTGTAGGCTACCGCCTTGCTCTCCAAAAAAAGATGTTGAAAATGTTGTGGCAGGTTGTTCACTTGAGGTTTAAATTGGGAAAGGCTTTAGAGTAGCAGCTCCCAATAGTTTAATTAGGAAAGAGTGTGCATGTTTGTAACTGAAAGCCAGAGGTCAACCATAAATATCAGTGGAAATGGTTTTTCGCTATTCCTTGTTAAGATTGTAAGTGGGTCTTCTGACTTTCTGTGCCTCAGGCAGTTCACCTGCAACATATGGCTGATACTGACTGGTTAGGTTTCCAAATGGGAGTGGGATTTTTTTTTTTCCTGCATGTTTTGTTTTTTTGTTTCATTCCCCTTTGAGATCCTTTACTGAATCTGCTTATAGAAATTCCAAATTATTTATTTCTTAAATGGAGAAAAACATTGGAAAAAGGATTCTCTTCTAAACAGCAACAAAAGACAGAATAGTTTAGTATTAAATCTCTGCAACTGTCACAGCTGTACAGTAGTGATATTTGTCCAACACAAAGCGATCAGAATCCACTGATGTCCACAAGCAAGTACTTCTGAGGTCTCTTGGTGCTTAAAGGGATAAGCTTTGTTTCTATATTCAGCAAATTGCTGTCCTACTGGAAGACCAAAGTTACTGCTGGAGATCTCTGAACATCAGCTGGTACTACTGTCTTCCCCAGGGTCAAGGAGAAACCACTTCCAGCCTAGGCTATAGCTAGAACTGCAGGTGCTGAACTGCCACAAGCTCCACTGTGTGCTGCAGAGCAGGCTGTGGGATTGCAGGGGCTAAAAGCAGTAAGTACCTCAGCAGAAGTTTTTTCTGTGATAAGCACCTGTAGCGCACTGGCAGAGCTGGGAGCTGCTGCCGCAGCAGTGTACCCTTTTAGTGTCTTGTCTCCTGCCAGTGGCACATGTACCACAAGTTGAGAAATTCCCTCTTTGTGGTAAATCCCCCAAAGCATCTTGCAGACCTCTGATAGCTTTATCTAGGTTTGTGCCAATAAAAGTGTCTGCAAGATTTGTGTTCTAGTGCTATGAAATTTTGAATTCTGATTCAGAATGATAGTGGAAAATAATACAGAATGAATTCAGCTATAGTGAGTAGACTGAATTTAAATTTAAGTTCTTAGTGAGCCTTATTTACTTATTTGAAGTGATTTAAAAAAAAATAGTATTACCTTCAAATTTTACTGTTAATTTTACACAATTTTTTTTTTTTTCTTCCAAGTGATGTGAATATCAAAAGGCCAATACTCTCCAGTGGACCTGATTCAGTGATAGTAAAGCCCAAGGCATTTACAGGTAAAGTGAACTTCGTAAGATTCTTGTTTGTAATGCATAACTAAATTTATAAAAAGAATAATAGGCATAAGGTAATAATTGATTTGCTTGTTTTCATAGCATGGAATATAACTTTTAAATTTGTCTTTAGAAGACACAGGTTTTTGGGCATTAACTGCAATGCAAGTTTAGTACTAACTGGCGGTATTCAAGGCCAGGTCGCATGTAGTCTTGGGTGGCATGGTTTAGTGTGAGATGTCCTTGCCCATGGCAAGAGGGGTGGAACTAAATGATCTTATGGTCCTTTCCAACCCTAACTATTCTATGATTCTAACAACAAAATTAACTAAAATTCATACATACATGGAATTTTTAGCAAAAGACAATAAAAAGGTTGTTCTCTCCAAAAGTGTATTTTTTCTAGCACTTACTCAGGGTTATAAAATGTCATACTATAACTGCTCACCAAAATCTCAAGTTACTCTAGCAAACCCAGCTGTGTGGCATTTCTTACTTTCTTTCTCTAAGTATTTTGACTACCAGATTTTGGAAATTTGCATGTAAGCATTACTGTCATTTGTTTAACCACATGATGTCACAATCTGCAGCTGTGGACCAGAATCTAATTGTTCTACACACTGTCTAAAAACAGAACAAAGAGATGGTCTGTAATAAGTTCAACTTAGAGGGTTATCTCATTCATATCCATATACATCTTAAAGCCTGTATGACTCATTTTGTGTGATACACAGGGAATTGCTTCTTGATTGAAAGCGTGTTTTCATAAGGTTGTAGGAGACTTTAAAGGCAGAGTTCATGACATGGGCAATAATGTCTTAACAGAAAACAGCCTACAGCATTTCTTGCTTTTAGAATTGCATTTCACTAGTGAAAGAGTGCTGCTATTAGGCCAGCAGCATTTCCCCCTGCTTGCTTTCTTCACATCCTTTAGATGAGATGTTTTTTGCTGCTTTTTTTTTTATCCTGTGTGTTTCCTCACAGAAACTGCTGCAAATTTGAAATTTGATTACATTGCCCTTCTTTCAGGAGTTTTCAGGATCAAAGCTTGCCTGCATTTCCTGAGGAGTAATGCTGGATTAGAAAGAGTTGATAGCAGTAGCACAGTATTCTTTGGGGAAATTCTGTCTATGAAGAACGGTCTCTGAATAAATAAACTTAATACATTGGTATAACGGTGGTGGATGTATGGCTTTGTTAGGCTTGATGGCACATAAATGCATTGTTCTGCTGTTCTTGCTTTTGCACATACCTTTCTGTTTAAGGGTAAATGTAGATAAAGATGATATTTTTAACTTTTTTTTTTTTTCTGAAATACAAGTTTTATTTCTATTCCTGGTCTGTAACTGTTCAGATTGGAGCTTTTACTCTCTTCTATAAAATCCAGACTATCTGGATTCTGAATTTCTGAATTCTGAAACAAAACTGATGGTACTGTGCACAGATTTGAAATGCTGGTGTTAGGTTTAGCATGAGGCATCAAAAAGTTTTTCTAGTACCATCTTCATATATTTATGTATAGTCAAAGAATTGATTTAAGAGACAAAAAGTGCAATCATTTTTATATCAAAATTTAAGAAGCAAATGAACTGAAGTTGTGAATTCACATGATGAATTATTCTTTAATTACATGATCGTATGAAGGTATTTTCCTTTTTTTTTTTGTAAGATTCCTGTTTTATACATATTAGAGGAGTTAACATTACTAGTTTTTGTCTCTTCCTTCATTGTCCCTGTTGCCGGATTTAAAGAAACATCCAGAGATACAATCTTCTAGTGCTTTGTCCTGTGGTACTCATCATTATAGTCTTTTCTGTTATACAAACAGAATAGTAGTTTGCTTTTTATGGTGTCCCTGTAAAAACGTAGATGTTAACTAAGGAGGTTAACATCTACTAATGCAAGACGCAGATCATATTGCACACAGTGAGACCAAAAATGGTGGTTGGGAATGGGTGCTTAAACATGCTTATGGTCTAATTTTACTGAGTTTGGCTATACCTGTGTTATAATGAAGCATCTACCAGAGGATGCTTGGAATTTCTCTGCATGTACTTTTACACAGTTACAACAGTCCCTGGCATGATTTTGGCCATGGCAATGTTTGGCTGACGTAACTATGAGATTGCAGCTTCTCTTCCTCTAATCTCTGGCCCTTGCTTGCAAGGTATTGCCTGACATCTGCAAGTTTGGTAGGCATCCTACAGAATAGAGCTTCCCTGGGGTAGTCTCATTACTCCTCAGGGGGCCACCTATCGTGGGCAGTAAAAAGGGAAGGGGCTAGGTAGCAGAGGAAAGTAGGAAATCTAGGGAATTAGAGACTTGTAATTCATACATTCAAAGGACACATAAAACAATGCTTGGTCACAGCTTTAATTCTGGCATTTCCAAGCTTTGGAGTCCTTACAATCCAGACTTCACTCTTGCAGCCTGCGTGGTCAGAGCAGGAGTGTCGGTGTATGTATGTGTAATTCCATGGACAGGCTTATTTTGTTCGGTTGTTTGTGTTTTGAGTGGTCTCAGGCTGTCGCGCTGGGGTTGGTGGGCCGCGCTGCTGGCGGCAGGATGGCCGCTGGGGGACAGCAGAGCGCCGCTGCACGGAGGTCCCTGCTGCTCTGTACCCTCTGCAAGCACTCACCCTTGAGCGTTTCTGTCCAATTGTGGAAGGTGACAGGTACTCACTACTTTGTACTTTATCAGGGACACCATGTAAAGTGAGCTGAGTGAAATTGTAATAGTTCAGCCAACTCGGCCTGGTTTTCCTGCAGGTTTTGCTGCAGAAGGGGTGAAATACTGGAGCTTAAAGAAGTGTGATGCATCAGGCTTCAGAACTGTGATGCATCCAGGCTGGATGTGATTCCTGGCAACATGATCTAGTTGAAGATGTCCCTGCTCATTGGAGGATGGTTAGACTATGTGAGCTTTGAAGGTCCCTTCCAACCCAAGCTGTTCTATGAATCTGTGATTCTGTAAGCTTTTTAATCTGTGTGATACATCATACTCATTTGCTTTAAACTAGGAAAGATGTTTATACACCACTGGCAATATGTCCATGAAGGTTACGGAGGCTGGTTTTTCCTGTACATAATTTTAAAGAACTTTTCTCTTCCAGATTCAAGCAGTGTAGACAGAGCTGAAGATTCTATGGCTTCACCTGCTGGTTATTATTATGAAGATCAGTGGAGGTCCAGAACACATTGGATCCATCATTTTAACAAGTCAGATGATATAACCAAGTGCTTACAAGGAAAAGTAATCCACCTGTTTGGAGACTCTACAATAAGGCAGTGGTTTGAATATCTGACAGCATTTGTTCCAGGTTAATTTATTATTTTTTTTTTCTTCATTTGGTTTTGTCCTTAAAGAACTTTGCATAATTTTATTTTTCACATCTCAAACACAAAGTTGATATTACTGGATGACAATGTAAAGGAAGAAGAAAGACAAAACGTTACTGGGAGTACTGGTAGATAGGCATTTAGTCAAATGTTAAAGCAGACACTGGAAACAAGTAGGCCTTGGAAATGAGGCCACAAGGTGTCTGCAAAGTTGTCCATGCTTCACCAGTAAGGACTGCTGCGGTAGCTGTGAGTTAAGGTGGCCACCTAGGGGGCATGGCAGAAGTCACTTAAGGTTGCTTTGCAAGGCCTTGCAGCATCCCATCACATGAATGACATTAGAATGAAGTAGAAAATGACTTCCATTACTGTTGATTGGTTTTGAGCCCTTTCTTGTGCTTCCCTTATTTTAACCTAAAAACAGAATTTCAGTAGCCAATTAGATATTCCTTCCTCACGCCTTACCCCTAAAGCAGTTAAATTGTGTTGGAATAGAGACTTTGAGACTCCTTAATGCCTGTAAGTAGAGGTGCCATGCCTGACCTTGTGCTCACCAACAGGGAAGGGCTGGTTTGAAATATGACGCTCCAGGGCAGCCTTGGTTGCAGCGATCACGAGATGGTCAAATTTGAGATCCTCAGGACAGAAGAGCGTGCAGGAAGCTCACTGCCCTGGACTTCAAGAGAGCAGACTTTGGCCTCTTCAGGAACCTGCTTAGTAAGGTCCCATGGGATATAGCCCTAGAGGGCAGGGTGGCCCAAGACTCTTGGCTGATATTCAAGGATCACCTGCTACAAGCTCAGGAGTGTTGCATCCGAACTAGAAGGAAGTGCAGCAGGAGGGCCAGGAGACCTCCTTGGATGGATAAGGAGCTGCTGAGGAAACTTTGAGGGGAAAAAAGAGGCTTCTAAAAGGTGGAAGAAAGGACAGGCAGCCTGGGAAGAATGCAGGGATGTTGTCTGGAAAACTAGGGACCAGGTTAGGAAAGCTAAGACCCAGTTAGAATTAAACTTGGCTAGGGACGTTAAGGATAACAGGAAGGGATTCTATAGGTACGTAGCGAATAAAAGACAGACTAGGGACAACATAGGCCCCCTCAGGAAGCTATAGGGAGAACTGCCTACCCTGGATTTGGAGAAGGCGGAGGTTCTTAATGACTTCTTTTCCCCAGTCTTCACTGGCAGAGGCTCTGACCACACCACCCAAGCCTTGGAAGGTAGACGCAGGGACTGTAAGAATGGATACCCTGGGCCCACTGTAGGAGAGGATCTGGTTCTAGGCCATCTTAAGAACCTGAATGTGCACAAGTCCATGGGACCTGATAGAATCCATCCATGGGTCCTGAAGGAAATATAACCCCCATTTTCAAGAGGGGGAGAATGGATGACCCAGGGAACTACAGACCAGTCAGTCTCACCTCCATGCCTGGCAAAATCTTGAAGCAAATTCTCATGGAAGGCATGCTAAGGCACATGAAAAACAACAAGGTGCTTGATGACAGCCAGCATGGCTTCACTAAGGGGAAATCCTGCCTGACCAATTTGGTGGCCTTCTATGATGAGGCTACGGAACTGATGGACGGGGTAGAGCAGTTGATGCCATCTACCTGGACTTGTGCAACACGTTTGACACTGTCCCACACGACATCCTTGTCTCTAAATTGGAGAGACATCAATTTGATGGATGACCACTCAGTGGATAAAGAACTGGCTGGATGGCCACACACAAAGAGTTGTGGTCAATGGCTCAATGTCCAGCTGGAGACCAGTAACGAGTGGTGTCCCTCAGGGATCAGTGTTGGGACCGGTCTTGTTCAACATCTTTGTCAGTGACATGGACAGTGGGATTGAGTGTGCCCTCAGCAAGTTTGCCAATGACACCAAGCTGTGTGGTTCGGTTGATAGGCTGGAGGGAAGGAATGCCATCCAGAGGGACCCTGACACACTTGTGAGGTGGGCTGATGCCAGCCTTATGAAGTTTAACCATGCCAAGTGCAAGGTCCTACACCTGGGTTGGAGCAATCCCAGGCACAGCTACAGGTTGGGCAGAGAAGAGATTCAGAGCAACCCTGCAGAGAAGGACTTGGGGGTGTTGGTTGATGAAGAAATGAACATGAGCCAGCTTCAGTGTGCACTCACAGGCCAAAAAGCCAAACATATCCTGGTCTGCATCAAAAGGAGTGTGACTAGCAGGTCGAAATAAGTGATCCTGCCCTTCTACTCTGCTCTTGTGAGACCTCACCTGGAGTATTGTGTGCAGTTCTGATGTCCTCAACATAAAAAAGACATGAAAATGTTGGAACAAGTCCAGAGGAGGGCCACGAGGATGATCAATAGGCTGGAGCACCTCCCGTATGAAGATAGGCTGAGAAAGTTGTGTCTGTTCAGCCTGGAGAAGAGAAGGCTGCGTGGAGACCTCATAGCAGCCTTCCAGTATCTGAAGGGGGCCTATAAGGATGCTGGGGAGGGACTCTTCATTAGGGACTGTAGTGCTAGGACAAGGGGTAACAGGTTAAAACTTGAACAGGGGAAGTTTAGATTGGTTATAAGGAAGAAGTTCTTTACTGTAAGGGTGTTGAGGCACTGGAATGGGTTGCCCAGGGGGCTTGTGAATGCTCCATCCCTGGTGTTGTTCAAGGCCAGATTGGACAAAGCCTTGGGTGATACAGTTTAGTGTGAGGTGTCCCTGCCCATGGCAGGGGGGTTGGAACTTGATGATCTTAAGGTCCTTTCCAACCCTAACTATTCTATGAAGTCATCTTTAAGTTTAATGGAGTCCTAAAGCTGCCAGGAGGATTTCCATGGACTTGGGATTTATAGAGAACAAATGACTGAAGGAGTCTATTTGGAAAATATCTTTTATGAGAGAGAGAAGGAAATATTTTGGGAAAGGCATGAACAGCCTTGTGAAGTTGAAGTGTGCTTTCTTGCAGATTTCAGCACCCAGAAACTCCACTCTGAAATATGCAGCTGAAACACACATGATACTCATCTTCTGTTTCATTTTAGAGTTCTCAGAATTAAACTCAGATTTCCATATCTACTGCTGGTTTTGCCCTGTGGTCCTAGCATCTTTTTGATAGTGTTAATATCTTTTGTTATCTTTCACTAACGCTTGCTCTTGGGTTTTCAGATCTAGTGGAATTTAACCTGGGGAGTCCTAAGAACGTGGGGCCTTTCATGTCTGTGGATCTGAAGCACAATATCCTAGTGAAGTTCCGCTGTCATGGGCCACCCATTCGCTTCTCCACAGTCTTTAGCAGTGAGCTGCGCTACATTGCCAATGAACTGAATGGCATAGTGGGTGGGAGAAACACAGTGATAGCCATAACTATATGGTCCCACTTCAGCACTTTCCCTGTGGAAGTGTATATTCAGCGGCTGAGGAACATTCGGAGATCAATTATTCAATTGCTGGATCGCAGCCCCAAGACTTCAATCATCATCAGAACTGCCAATGTTCAGGAGCTTGGGCCAGAAGTGAGCCTCTTTAACAGTGATTGGTATTCCTTTCAGCTTGATTCTGTAATGAGAAAAATGTTCTCAGGAATTGCTGTGCACTTTGTGGATGCTTGGGAGATGTCTCTGGCTCACTACCTGCCACATAACTTGCACCCAAAAGAAATAATTGTTAAGAATCAAATAAATGCATTTTTATCTTACGTGTGCCCTTTGCAAACTTAGCACAAGTAGGTACCCTTATGTCATCTTTTGCTATAGCTGAAGTAAAGTTGCTCTTTGTTGGAGCAATTGAGGTAGGCTGGGTGGTACGGAAGAACTCTGGTTATTGTACTTGCATGCAGTATAAGTGGGTGGCCTTATCTCTGGGTAGCTGTGAAGTGTGGTAAAGAGGAGTTGATTGTTCAGGCCATATCTTCCTGCAAGGATGATTCCTGTCAACCTTACCATTCATATCTGAGATTAGAGAGCACTTTAAATTAAATCAACAGGATTCAATAAGAAATTACGTGGATTATTAGCTTTACTAGTTGTCTGTACTGTATGCTTAGCTTAATCCATATGACACTGATTTTGTTGTCAGAGTCTTGCTGCTCAGAACTGTGTGTCAAGTCTGCGAAAGATTTTGGGAGCAGTCTTTCTCTCAGTGTTCTAGTGTTTGAGGGACATCTCTCTCCAGTTGTATGTCAGAGAAGCACAGTGTCTGTTCTTGTTTCAAAGTCCTAATTAGAAATGTGAAGGGAGTGTACCAAAATCGCTAATGTCAATCAAGGAAGCAAATCAAAGTAACTATAATATTAAGTCATCACAAATTTGCTGAAATAGAGTACACAAGTTAGGCAACTTTGGTGTTCACAGATGGCTGCTAAATAATGCAAATAGCCAGTATTTTAGCTTGATATCCTGTACTACTGAATTTCTTCTGAGCTTTGGTACACTGTCTACTTCTTGATTTGTCTGTAATGGAGAAATGTGTATATTATGACCTCAGTGAAGACACTGTCTCAGGCAGTTTCTGCAAGTTCAAGTTGCAGGCTCACTTACTTGAAGCTTGAAGCATTTACTAATAAAAGTGTTTCCCTTCCCTGTAAGATAAAGCTCTTCACTTATGTTCCTGTGAAGCTGGGCTTCTGATAATTACTCTTCTGCATCATTCATATGTTGTGTCTGTGTGGAGAAGCTAAGTGATGTGAATGCACTTGGTGATTTGGCACTGGGTAACGGTAACTGGCACACACTAGTGCCAAGGCCATGCTGTGGTGCCCCTTCTGATTTCTTCATGAGCTTCACTGCTGCCAATATAAAAGGTCAAAAAAATTGCACCCAAAAGCCTAGCACACAGAGCTGCCCTTGGTGAATATCGGTGGTTTTGCTGGTGTGAAAGCTGGTGGCTCTTGTGCCTCTTGGTGTGGTGGTTTCTGCTGCTCACTTGATTGAGCCTGTCTATAGCTTTAGCTAGTAGCACTTTGAAAATTCAGCCCCGAAGTTAAGCAGCAGTATTCCATGATGTCTTATTTCTGGACCTCCTCAGGCCAAAGTTTGTCTTTACCATCTGCTTTGCTGAGAAATGTGTCAGAAAGTAGAGGAGTGCTTCTGAAGAAGCTCATCACTCTTAAGGAGAATGGGAAAGCTGAGTCTTTGTGAGCAAACTAAGAAGAATAATGAGGCCAATTGGTAGGTGGCCCAGAGTGGCATAATTGAAATGTCTTCATATTAGAAACATTTTACTCTTTGCCAAGTTTGCTGCTATGTTAGGAAGGTTGTGCTCTTATTGCTGGAGCCCCAAGAGAGCTGCTACTACTAACCACAGGAACAGTGGTTTTATTCTGTTTATTTTAAAGGACAGCCAAGAACTGTTTTGAAAACAAATGTAAATGCTTTTAGGATGTAAGAGACTGTCAATAATATCCATCTAGAAACTTACAAATTTTAGAATGTTTTAAAATGACTGGAGGAGTTGCATACACTGAAATAGCATTTTTACCTAGCTTTTCACATCAGAATTAAGGAGGTCCAATTTGCCAGTTCCTACTGACAGTTGATTCACATAGATTTGTTCATACATTAGCTTTAGGTAACTATTTCTTTCTTTAATATGCTAATGGAAATTTATTCTCTGCTAAAAAGAGACCACAGTAATTCAGGTCTGGGAAGGTAAACCACCACAATGCAAAATGACTTTTCATCTTTTCCAGCTGTGTTTTTTTAAATAGATAGAATATAAGAGTTTCATCCTGGATAACAAATCTATCAAATAATGTTAATAAAAATAAGACTTCAAACTTTTACTTCAAAAGAAACTACTTCATTTGTGGACTAACCATCTGGTTTTCCTCATAAAGCCATTATCATGTGTGAAAGTGTTGTGGCAGAGTGTTTCATCTCCAAATGTTGTAGTGCTCAGCATTGCTCTGTAACAGCAGCTTTATATTGGTGTTAGCTTCCAAGAACAGAGAAGAATATTTTTTTGACTGTTTTTATAATTGAGGGAAGGAGAACAGGGTTGGCATTAGCAAAGATGTCTAATTGCCTTCTGGTAGAACCTCTCCCTTTTAGATTAATTAGATTAATTATTTAATAACAGATGAACTAACTTTTAGGAAATGCACTTGAGAGAAATTGCCAGTTGATTTGGAATGAGGACCAATAATTCATTTCTTTGGGCTTTGGAATAGACAGGGAGGAGAAAGGGAGAAACTGAGACTTTACTCTTGTTTTAAGATGAAGGCTGGGGACACTATGCTTTTATATGTCATTCAGTTGAACTATAAAGGATTTTTCATTTCTATTCTCATCTTATTACCAGTTATATATGTACCATATATATGGAAACATAGAAGCAATAAAATATTTTTAAATTGGTTTCTTTAAACCTCTAAGTTTCTAAATGGATTTTAATAGGAATTTAAGGGGTTGTTTATTTTTCAGGTTACTTAATATGAAACAGGACTGGAAAGGAACTTCTCAGTCATCAGCTGAATATCTTTTTGCATGTAAAAATTTATTTAATGAGTTTTTGAAAGCCCCATCTTCCTTTCCATTTTCTTCATTTGAAGGGAAGAAATTGTATTATTTTTTAATATCTTCATTCTTGTCCTGAGCCTTTTGATTATTAACCTTTCAATACAGAGATTTTTATTCCTTTTAAATTTCTTTATTCAAATAAATAAATCCCAATGAAGAAGTATTCTTATGGTGTTTATCAGAAGATTTCAGAGCAATCCATTTATAAGATACAAACCTTCCATTTTATGGATTGGGCTGATTCATGGTGATTTTCTGCACCTGTTATTTTGAGAATCTTGTTTTTCATATCTACCATATTAAGCTGATTTTTTGTTCTAGAGATTTAGTAAAAGCATTAGTTGAATTGTTGGTGAAAAGAGAGGATAAAAAGTAAAAGTTTCCCTTTTTTAAGGTTTTCAATTGCTGGTAATTCCATCTGCTATGCAGCACTATAGCTTTACAAGATTCAATTTATCTTTTTTCATTGTTTTACTTGTTAGAGGTAAGCTTTTAATAATGGGATCTTTGCTTACTAGAAGGGTTTGTAGGGCTTTTTATGTACTACAGGCAACAATTCCATGTATACATGACAAAACCCAAAGATTTGAAGTTAATTCCTGAGAAGGGTGAGAGTACTGTGGTTCTGCTTTGGCTTTGTTGCAAAAGTGTGGGTTAAAATGTTGTTCCACTCATGACAGTTTAAATAATAGCAAAAACTTAAATCATCACAAATGTGTATTTATTGTTTAAAGCACTTAGTTGTTAAGTCCAGATCACTTCATGCTTAGTCTATACTCATATATTTAGAATGTCTGCAAGGCTCTTGTTATCTCTTGGTAGCAGAGAAGAACTCTGTGTGTTAGAGAACTTGTTTTCAAAAGGATTTTTTTTTCCATGTATATTATTGAAATACTTACAATACAAAGAAGGCTCTAACGTCTTTTTATTTCCTAATTTAAATAATTTAAAAAGCCAAAAAGCTCAAAAATAAAAAGTTCCTAATAAAGAGGGCAAGCTTACTTGAACTCTTTCATCTGATTTAGTTTCTGTTTATCCTATTTCCTGTAAACCCCCCCCATTATATTTTTATAGTTGCATAGTAGTTCCCTTAGTTTTGCTTATTACTTTTTTTGCCCTGTGTGTAGGGTAGAAGTTTCACAGTATAGTTTATAGATTAAGATCACTTAGAAAAGTGATTCTTTTTTTTTTTTCTGATGATGTGTATTTGGAGGAGAGTGGTCTGTGCAAGCTGCACATGCCTGACATGAGACCCAGCACTGAAGCACACTTGATGTTTTCTCCTGTCGGTCTGTCAGGCCTGAGGCATGATAAAAGCTTGCATATAGCCTGGGCTTCCTTTTTTTGAGTGTTTTTGCAATGCAACCAGCCAACAGGAAATACTTAATCCACTTCAGTTAAAAAAGCAGTGTGAAGGACAGAGCTGAGATCCACTGTTGTTTGATGCTTTTTTAGGTTATGAAGAGTTTTTACTTTAAGTAATGGAATTAAAATTGAGAACTGTCTTGTAAGTCACTTGGTGTGTTCGAGGCCCATAGGACACCCCATGCATCTTCCTGTATCTGGATCTTTGAGTCTTTCCTGAAATGTTCATTCACTGTGGTGCTTGTCACGCCTATCTGAACTCTCAAGCAATGTAACCTGGCTCATAGCTGGGCAGTGACTCTAAAATCCTGTCCAAATTACTGTTTTCTCCTTCACTGTTGATGTTACTAGCCTCTTGTGGAAGCTTTTTATGGTGAAATAAGCAGGTCTGCTTTGGGAGTCTGTCTTTGTGAATTGCACAGGAGCTTCTCTGCCTGGAATGGGAGAGAGTGGTTTTGTAGGAGGATGCTGAAGAATTGAGAGTATGTAAGTTGTTCTGTATGAGCCGCAGATGCAGAGTGAGCACATCACTAAACCCAACTGAAAGTATAATGGGCATATCCTGACTGTGTCAGCCAGTGTGTGCTTTATAGATTAGTGAATCCTTAACGGATGTGGCCAGAAGAGGGCTTTGAGGCACTGAAAAAGAGCCTGGGATGACTCTCACATGAAAAACGTAAGCCACAATGTAACAGCCTTAGAGGTAGTTTATTTTCTAATTCTTGGGTAGTTGTATTTTAAAAACAAATGACGTGAACACTACTGAATGAAGCTCTTTTACATGCAAGTCTTTTTAGAGTGAAATTTAGTTGGTGACATAAACATTGATAACTTGGTAATTCTCAGATTGGCTCAAGATTGTCCTCATGACTTTTTTTTTTCTGAAATCTGATTTCTCACCCACTCCCCCCAAGTCACAAAAGGATCCAGAGGAGTAACCTTTACTGGGATAGAACAGTCCATCTCAAGTCAGTTCTTCCTGCAGTGTAGAAAACTTAGCAGACTGCGTGACCTGACAGCAAGACCATGCTATGGCAGTCAGCGTTCTTTGGTTCAGCCATCCATTAAACATTTTGTGCTGGATTCCACTTGTTTTTCTCTCCCTTCCTTGGACAGCTTTGAAAATAGACAAGTGTTTTTCTCATGGTGCCCTCACTCTTGAGCCCTCTATAAGAGCCTGCTTTTTTTTGATATGGGGCTCTCTCTTTTCACTCTCAAGTCTCTGCTGCAGGTTGTTTGCAGCAGTCAGGACTGGTTATATGGCAAGCACTATTGCTCTGCCACGGTGTGGCAGCCCGCTCTGAAGAGTCTTGCAAAAGAGCTTCCAGAGGGACGTGTTTATTGGAGTTCAGGAGGCTAGTGGCATGGCAAACGTATCTGCACTGAAAGAACCAGGACAAAGTCATGTGTTTTTTCCCCTCTCACCATCATGTGCTCAGTTCTTTCCACTCCTTCCTTGATTTTCCCTGGGCTGGGTGAGTCACACTTTCCAGTCCCGCCTGCCCTCTTTCTCTGCCTGAATCAGCTTGTCTCAGGGATTTTGTCACTTGCTGCTGGCAAGGCAGCCATTGCTGTCTTTAGCCGTTTCTTTCTTCTAATGGTTTCTTCCCTTCCTCCATCTTTGCCATTTTTGATCTCTGTATTTGTGTTATTGTTAACAACTTCTCCTACATCTCATTTTTGCCTTTGTTTTCATTAGAAAAAGTAGAAAAATAGTTTAAGAAAAAAAGATACTGTCATAAAAATGCAATAAAAAACATTCAAGAGCTCTAGTAGCAAGCAGATTTTAAAATTATTTTATAGAATGCAAAATGTGTCCAGTATATATATCTTTCATTCCAAACAATTTCATATCCACTGTTTTAAATGTAGGTTCTCTACCGCAACAAATTTCTTCCTGATCTTCTGTTGTCCCTATTCTTCTGCACAACAAATATTGCTACCAGAAT